TATTAAGTGATATTAGCTGAATAACTAGAACATGCACTATTCAGTAATATTAGCTGAATAACTAGAACATGCACTATTTAGCGATATTAGCTGGATTACTAGAACATGCACTATTAATAAATTTCTGGAGCTTAAAGTGTTTAAAAAAAGGTTGTATGACTGGCTGATCCAAAATCCTTTTTACAGCCTAGACGAATTTTATAAAGAGCATTCTGTTAAATTTTAAATCAGTATTATAGTTATAAGCCTATCTGTTACAAATTGTATGTTATGTATTTTTTTTTATTTATTTTGCATGTAAAATGACACTGTCTATTGCATGTATGTAATGCTGAAAGACAATAAATGATGATTCTGATTCTGATTCTGTACTGATCAATTTTAGGTGGCAGCATCCGGATGCCAATCCAAAACATCGCTGCCAGAGATCCGTAATCCGTGGCATTGCTTATTCACCACAAAATTGTATTGAACAACTACCTCTACAAGCCATACAATAATTGATCTGGTAACTTTCAACATTTCACAATATTTCCAATCTCAATCTCTTGGATATAAGTTCAACTAAACAGCCTTTTTTCAAGTAACTTACTTGGATCTGTATCTATGTGAGGACTAAAACATTTACTGCAAAATGATCCTTTGTTTAGATGTCTATTCAGCAAACAATGTAGTATCTAGTGTAAAAATGTATGCAGGCCCATAGGCCTACAATTTAACATATTGAATTTAACATTAGATAAAATCAATTTTCTAACACTTAAAATGTTGTTAACATACAGAAAAGAAGCAAAAGAATAGACACAATAAGCAGGCACATCATACAAAGGAAAAAGTGAGCAAAGATTAACTATACCCATACATAGTGTAAAAATAGGTTAGCAAGCAAACACATAAAATTTACAGGAACTAGTGATTATGAGACAAACACTTTCTCATGCAAAAACTTGATGAATGCATCGGTGAATCATTCGTCTTGTACTTAACTTCAAGATGTGAAGTTTTCTGTATCCTTGGAACCAACTTCTATACCAGACAGCGGTGTCTCCGTTCTTGTTGTTCTTTTTTTTTTAGTATAGTAATACGTAGGCCTACACTTTTTCATCAAACAGCAAAACGTCCCTTTTACAATATCTCAGCAATACCAGAAAAACAGGCAACATTGTCGTTTGTTCAGATTAATTTTCGCTAAAGATGTTGCCATCACTTCGGAATCCCAAGGTCTTTAAAAACCTCAAACTTAATGTAATAAAAGTTTAAACATCTTAGGATTGTACATTACCATAATATCCTCATTATATACTGGGTGGCGCATAAAGAACGCATGGATTTGAGTTGAGTGGTGAGAGCAAAAGGAGCGTAGTGGAGGGACTGGGCCTGGTTGTTTTGTAGGTTATGGTGTCCAGTTTTAGTAGCAATGGTGCAGTGGTCCGTGGTACATCGCATTTTTGCGGTAGAACATTTATTCGAAAGTAATTAAATCTGTTAAAACTGTTCAACGGCTTTTCTGCACAAAGTTCAATGTTCTGCGAGTCCTGAAAAAAGTACGGTAAGGCCCAAAAATAACGAAAGCTACACCAAACGTTAAGTTTCAAATCGTGCAGTGGTTTTTGATGCGATTCTTTTGGGTCTTCTGCTGCCAAATAGTGCCAGTTTTGCTTATTGACATAACTATCCAAATGAAACTGCGCTCCATCATTAACATCATACACAAAACGCCATCAGTGGTGAGAACATCAACCATTCTCTCTAAACAGTTTCCATTTTCGTAATCACGTTCATAAATCTTCTGTACGATCATAATTTTGTAAGGATGAAATGTTAACTCATCTTTCAGGTTGCCCTGCAACGAGCGTCAAGACAAGCACACAGTTGGAGCGCATCGCCAAGTGTAACAGACGCCCTTACTCTGTCGACATTTTGTGGATTTCGGGCCGTGCAAGGACAACCAAACCACTTCTGCTTCATAACTGATTCAGTTGTGCGAAAAGAAGCTATCCAACAAAGTATTGTGTTGCGATCGGATTTTGTTTTGAACCATTGAACTGTGCACGGAGAAGCCATTGAACAGTTATATCAGATTCATTATTTTTGAATAAATGTTCTACAGCAAAAACGCGATGCGCCAGGTCGATTGTACCATTACTACTAAAACTGGACGCTCTAACCTACAAAACAACCAGTCCCAGTCCCTCCACGGACGCTTTTATTGCTCTCACCACTCAACTCAAATCCATGCGTTCTTTATGCGCCACCCAGTATATATATCATTCAAAGGCTTGAATCACTGCAGATCCTCAATTAAAACCCAAGCAGCAACTAATTCTATAAAAATACAATCTAAAAATATTTTTTATTACTCTACATATAAAACTTTATCATTCACATAAATTAATTTTCTCAACCTAGACTTACTGAACAAAACCGACTCATGAAACTTTTCCAAGATTTCCAGCTTTAACTTTTTTATCTTTTGTAGTATTAAATTCATACATATAATGCCTACATACACTGCCACTTTGGTTGGTTATGGAGAAAGCAAAGAAAGAAACCTTTAAAAACTTACACACAAATACATGGTCTCAAATCATATTGTATAACAATGTGTTTTAAATATCACTACTCATAGATAAGAAAAATTCAATAATCAATTTTACAAAGTTAAGTTTTTTAATATTTGCAAGATTTAAGGACTGAAATTTTATTCAGGACAAAAACCATTACAGTAAAAAATGTTTTGAATGCCAATGCCTCACACGTCCCTTTGTAAAAAAAAAAAATCAAGAACACAAATCTAGACAAAAAATTATAAAAATGTATATTTGATAATAATTGTTTAAATTATTGTTACACAGAGTTAGAATAGATTTACAGTCACTTTAAGAATTAAAGTAATATTTTATGGTAATAATCTGATACGTCTATGTTTGTTGGTTATTTAAACTCATAGAAACTGTCCAAAGAAAATTAGAATAATACTTATCTGCCCTTATTTTGAGGAGTTCAGCCGTAACCCTTAAGTTGAAAAAAAACCAAGCCATTTGTATTGCATTTTGAAACCCATTTAATTAAATTAAAATTATGTTTTGATAACTTTTAAACAGTCCAGTAGGCCTACTTATTACTGATGCTTGTTGTTGAAGCAATCCAGGCACATTGCACGATGATCCGGACAGGTTCTACAAAAGGAATTGACTCATTTGGCTCCTTTCCTGACTTCCTTTGTTACCTTCTCATCTACAAGAGCTGATTTGACACTGTTTCTGGAGATACAGCTTTGTTGACGTTTGCAAACATTATCACTTGATTTTAGGAAATTTCAGGCAACACCAATAACATCACCAATGTTAGCGGCGATTTGATAGGCTTGCTAACATTCATGAAATCACCATTAGATTCTTCAACGTCCTCAGCATTATTAATAACATCACCAACATTTTTTTTTGCCCTAGGACGCTAGGCACGAGTCCGGGATTGTTTCTCACATTACTTCAGACTAGACCTAATTGCGGCATTATCACTTAGAAAAAATCCATTGGTGATTGGGCGGGATTTGAACCCGGGACCTCAAGCACCAAAGTCCCGTGCTCTAATCACTAGATTAGCTCGCTCCCCCAACATCACCAACATTGATAATGCTATCTTCAGTGAAATTTATGGCAATATTGCTAGCTGCTTTAATGTTCGCGGCAACATTTAAAGCTTTTTCAACAACATCACTAGCTTTGATGATCTTCATAGGCCCTAGTGACATAGTTGGCTTTGTACTAATGCCTTAAACAAAATTTACAGTTTTCAAAGTTTAATTTAGGATATGCAGATTTTCATAATAGCAGGACTCTACTGTAATTATTTATTAAAAAATTATATTTTTATACTTTTAACAAATGTATTTTTTTAAAGTCATATTTTGGTAAATTTGTATGATATCAATGAATAACCAGGACTTGTCATAATTTTGGTAGGCTACCAAAATCTTAAAAACTATATATGATTTCATTAATTAAACATTTGTTTGTTTTTAAAATCAGACTAATTGAAAACTAAAAACAATTTGAATTACTGTTTCTGCCAAACTAGACGGCTTTAAGCACTTGATCTACCCATGGGTCAGCAAACATTATAATAATTATCAGTAGGCTACCTATGTATCTCAGGATAAATTATTATTAAAAATTAAAAAGAATTTGTTGTCCAATAAAAAAAGTTTGTAAGATCGACACAATCCAAAATTTGATAACATAAACGTAGCACAAGTTCTGAGGCTTGTAGGACAGCTTGTATTGCTGAAACCACCATTTGAAATACATAACTTGTGGACACACCATACTGCATGGTGAACATAGATTAGAGTCAGGGATTACAAAATTAAAATAGACCGGGCATGTAATTCAAGAACAATTTCAGGTTTTCAAGGTTCAAAATTACTAAATTAAAACTTTTTGAGAAAAAAAAATAGGGAACTGGCTTACTTGTAACCTGCCTGTACATTATAAAGCGTTTTAAGAATCAAAATTAACACACAAAACAATTCAAAAGAATAAAATGTAACTTAAACCTTTTTAGATTGTGAAAGCCGTTCACAGTTATTTATTTTAGGGTCAGTTTGAAACAATGATTGCCTTACAAAAAACTAAACTTCAGAATAACAGCACCGTTGTGAGAATTTCATTCAATCGTATCAATATTTGTGTGGTTATTTTCTGTGGTTGTGGAACTACTTAAGTGTCATCATACCCAGCATTCGTTGTAGGCCTAACATCCGTGATTTCTTGAGATTACAGTGATATCCATGAGGAGAATAAACATTTGGCGATTACTGGCGGACTTTATAGGTGATTAGTAGACATTGGCAAGGAAAATCTAAAGTACTTTACTACCTAGGCTTGATATGTAAATTCTTGACATTGTAAAGACATTGTAAATAAATTCTGCATCTTCCCCATCGAACCTTAGGTAATTTAATTAAAAAATAAAACTATGTAGTCACAAGCCCATACCTGCATCTATTGGCGTTGCCATAGGATAACAATATTTGTAATGAGTGTCTGCAACTTCTTGGCAGAGTCGTATTCTCTTCAATGGCGGTGAACTTGGATCAACACCTAAGATAGTCATTTTTTCCTTCCCTGAAAAAAACAACATGTTAACTTGATTAACCGGTTCATAAAATACATGAGGCACTGTTCAAGACATCATTGATTTTTCTGTTTCAATTCTGTTTTTGGGTTCTGGCTAGGCTATCAGTATTCTACGATAAGATCAAGTAAATTGACTACCGTAACCTAAACCTACATAGGGACTAGAGCACTGAGCCAGGGTTACATCTGGCATCAACCTTTAATTTACTTAGGAAATTTGGTACTTTAGTATTATTCCGCCCATTGTCAGCCCACCCTTATAAAGCATGCCACAGCGGTTAGGTTGGGTTATCATAGAAAGTACCGGTATGACTCATCTGGTATCCTTCGATTTATAAATACACGAGGAAAGTCCTACAAACATATTTATGATAACCCAACCTAACATAACCGCCGCAGCGAGCTGTAAAATAAGTGACCTCCGTATAATACTAAAGTACCGGAAATTTAGCAAACAATCAAATTGAGTAGAACCTTTTCTCAAATGTAAATCAACGTGCTGATTAACTTAAGAAGTGTACTTCTTATAACTTTAGCTCATTTCCCTAGGGAAGTAGCTATTATCGTAGGTGGCACGGTAAGCCCTAGGCCCCGGAATTACTTTTTGATGTCCCCAGAGGCTTAAAACAATAACTTATTAGTTCAATTTATTTTATACCTTGTGTGCAGGGTTGCCACCTTAGGTTAGGGGAAAATCGGGACATACCCCCCCTCCCCCTGGATTAACATAGGCTTAAACACTGAATTTAACACTGAAATTAGGAATTTCAGATTACAAATAAAAGAAGCACAATTTTAGGCTGAAAAGAATGGTATATATAACTTATAGTTTAAATGTAACAAAGAGTATCAATCCGATAGGTAAAAAACAAATTGTGCGCTTCTCATTTATATTCTTCACTTTTTGCGCTAAAAGTCATTTTGTCATCTAAACATTTTACTTCCTTATGCTAAAAATAAAATCTATTTACATAAAAGGTCCAAATAAAACTTGAAAAAGTCATAATAAATTATTCAGCGCATACTAAGTCAGAATCAGCGCGAAACTAGTCAGAATCACTCCCCGCTGCTGCCCTGTCATTCAAACTAGGCCACCCTCTAATGGTTGGTATCCAAAAGTGGTTCATTTTGTGGAAACATGCGGGATGTACTCCCCCATTGCAGCCTGGGCAGTAAAAATGGCTTCTAGACTTTTTGCCTTTAGCAGAACACACAAGACATCTACAGAGTTTTACACCTGGAACCCGAGTAAGTATAAGACCGTTATCCCCTCCAGGGCCAGGCATGGGGTTCTCATCTTGCTGGACAGAAACTTCATCCCCCTCAATTAGAGACTCTATACTTACAATAAAGTCATGCCTATTCAGTGGCTTGTCTGTATTTTTGGAATAGAGAATCCATGCGTCAAAAAAGTGCCATTTCCGTAATGTCATAAATTCTCTTCCAGTATATTTTTGTTTGCCTGGGACCTGATACATGGTAAATAGATTTATCTTTTGAGTCCACTCTCCAATGTTTAGGTTGTACCTACTTATGGATTAGAATTGGCTTACCTTTTTGTCTAGCACTCTTACTCGTTACAATGTCGTCTTTACAGCCAGTAGTAATCAAATATACAGGTTTCCGTTTTTCTTTCTGCTTGTAACCTACCAATAAAATGTCTTTTCCCCCAAAATAAATGCTTTTTGCAAGGGTTCTGATTTAGTTTCAATTACCTTTTTTTAAAGGTTTGACTTTTTATTTACTGTGCCAGTTAGGTAGGCCTATGTTTTGTGATCTAATAACTTTTGTGTAACCAGTAGCTTAGTATAGTAAGTTGATTGTCTATGAACAAATGGCATCCCTTTCCTAACAAACTACACTTTCTCATCAAATGCATAACTACCTTAAATTGTGTAAAAGGGTCATCTCCATCTTGGCCTTCTAAAAAGCCCTTGCCAGGATAAAGCTCAATGTGTAAAACATTTGAATGCGGCCAAAACTCAAGAAATCATGTTTAGCCTTAATACAAATGTTTCCAGTGATGAGTCTGTAAGACTGCTAGGTTTCACCCTGGATTCGGAGCTTGCGTGGGATGACCATACAGCACTTTGTGCACTTTGTGTAAAATTAAGTAGAGTATTACATATTTTGAGGAAGTTGACGTCTGAACTACCTTTTAACTTTTTGAGATTTGCTTTCTTTTCTTTTTTCCAGGCCCATATCGTATATAGCACACTCCTGTGGAGTCACTCCCCGCATGCTCAGAAAGTACTGCTCCATCAAAAAAAGGCTATCCGAGTAATATGTCAGGTTCGCTATCTGGAGCATTGTAGACATTTGTTTGCTGAACTTCGCATTATGACTGTTGTGAATGTCTATATTTACCAATCTTTGTTAGCTATTAAGGACATAGAATATCTTGTTTGTAACAAGGATGTCCACTCATATCTCACGAGAAATAGAAGTAATGTAGGCTACATTTAAGTAGCAATAGATAGAGTAAAACTAATAACTGTTTTCCTATTACAGGCATCAAGTTTTACAATGCTCTCCCGGAAAGTGTTTGGTCATTGCGGAAGTCAAAATTTACTAAAATTGTAAAAGATTGGCTCGAAACAAATCCTTTTTATAAATCTGTTGAATATTATGATACTCTGAAGGCTGGCCATTGCTTTAATTTGTAGTTTTATTTATATACTCAGGTATGTGTCACAATTTCATTTTCTTTTGTTTTTTTGCCATAACTGCATGGTTTGCTGCTATGTTTGCTGTGTGAGATTAACTAATTTTAGCATGGTTTGTAATGGTGAACATTTCATTTAATTATATGAATTGGTTTGTTTTATTTTTAGCATAGTTTTGACGTTACCTATTGTATTTATTACTGAATGGTATAATAAATCTTTTGAATCTCTCTTGAATCCCTACCCAGTCTTGCAGTCTCAAATTTCAAATTTTTTGATACCGAATCTGTCATGTCGTTTGTTGGGCATATACTTGATGTAAACACACCTATTCTTCATGCCTATCATTGATTTGTCAAGAGATATATGTTCTGTTCTGGAATGAAATAGGCCTATTTCTTGAATGCTGCATTCATTAAATCCAAGAAAAATCTTACATTATACCAAGGATCGTGGTAAGGTTGGTCTTTAGGAATAAAACGAAGAGATCTGACTTGCACCATCGACCGTATAGCTTCAAACCTATTTAGGGACATAACACTAGATAAAAAAGGTGTCGCTTGAGATTTAGACTTGCTCCAATAGTCTGTTATATTTTTCTTCTTGATCAAACCCATATTGAGTACCAGTGCAACATATTTTTTTATCCACTTAGTCACATCGACCCACCTAGTTAGCCTACTCTTAGGCCCAAGCAATCCAGAGTTTCTCTATGTATTTATAATTTTGTTAGCATAGGCATTTGTATTCCTAACTATCAGCAGCCAAATAAGATTATTAAAAAAAGATAGAAGTATTCAATAGGGTTACTACTACGGGGCGGGCAATTTATAATTCCTGGGTGTCTTACTTCAAACTTTTCCTCTACATCAAACTCCCATTCAGGTGGATGTATTCTTATCCATATAGGATTCAAGTTTACATTTATGGGCCCATTAATGGTCCAGGGGGAACATCAGGATCATTAGGTGCAATTTCAGGAACTGCAATGTTTGCAGCTTCAATTTGTCTAGGTCTACTGTAGGCCTAGGCCTAGGAGGCTGACTCACCTGAGGTGCTGGAATTTCTAAAGATAGGGTAGGCCTAAGTTACAATTGGAAATTTCATTTATTGCCTGTTCAACATCAATAATTGAAGTATCACTGTAAAAGTCTTCAGGTCCAGGATTCCAGATTTCCCTACTTCCAGATGAAAAATCAAGAAGGGATTCATCGATTCAACGAAGCTTTCGTTATTTTCACACACACCACAAAAACACTGCATAGGAATTAATTGTCATACTACAACAGTGTAATTGTCAGGCAACAGACAATGCCGGCAGACGACAGCTGACTAGCAAGGCAACAATTCACAAAATCCAAAGACGTATAAAACGGATAAATTTCACTTTTGGTTTGCCGACTGCCTTCTAAATATAAACGGACTCTTTCCCTTCATCACTATATAAAAATCATTCAAATCGGCTGACGATTATTGATGTCATGGCTGTTATGGTGACGCGCTGTAAAAGGTATCGACTTAAGCGTTTTAAATAGGGATAAAATAGACGCGATCGCGACTCGTAGCGGATAGAGGATTAAAGAACAAGTACCGGTACAGCTTTAAAAGGTATGCCTGAGCTATGGGAGGGCTGCAAAAAACTACTACGTCTAGGCTATCTCCAAAAAATTACAACGTTTGCATTTTTACTTTGACAAAACTTTTGTTTAAGTTGAGTTACTCTTTTGAGATACCAAACAGCTGGTTAAAGTAAAGCAAGTACGAATACGTAGCTGCGGTAAAAATCCGTTACGTTCCCACAACTCTATTTTTTCCAATTAGGCCTACACTTCTATAGGCCTAGGCCTAACTTATTGGAAATTTTGGAAAAGTACTTACTTACTTACTTACTTACTCCCTCGACGTCGTTGACCAGCTCTTGCTGGATAGACTGAGTCAAAATAAAAATAATAATAATATATATATATATACATATTTACAAGTTTGGCGGCAGGTTAGACGCAAATTTTATAAAACTCATCTAGGGAGTACAAGGGTCTTGCCAGTAGCCACTCCCTCAGTTCGTTTTTGAAAACTGAGGCCTCAAGGTTTTTAAAGTACAGTGGCAGTCGGTTGTACATCCTAATTGCCAACATAGGAAAGCTGTCCTTTTTTTTGTTTAGTCTGCAGAAAGGGATATCAAGGTTGGATTTTGACCTTGTATTGTGATCATGTTGGTCTTCTCTCAATGCAAGACTAGAGATGTTGGTCCTTACGTTGTTTAGGGTGATTAGAATGTACTGGCTGTATACTGTAAGGATATTGAGTTTACTAAAAAGAGGT